AGAGAGAGAGAGAGAGAGAGAGAGAGAGAGAGAGAGAGAGAGAGAGAGAGAGAGAGAGAGAGAGAGAGAGAGAGAGAGAGAAAAGGATCCCCTCTATGTCAATTCGAGAGCCCATGTACCACAAATGGCTCTTATAATCCATGGGGAGCTATTGAGGGCCGCTGCTTTACTGAGAAGGATGGCCTCGTCATGCACGAAAGACACGGGGGCAGACCAACAATATATGCTGTGGATTCGAGTTCAGGGCTGTAGCTTGGCAGTTATGGGTCACCACTTCAGCTAGACCCTGTTTGTGTCTCCACGTGATTCTCAGGGACTCCCTCCACCACTCACCAATTGTATATAATATTAGTAGAATGAATCTTCTGCTAAAACATGGAACCATACACCGCCATATGCTATGTCTTTTGTGCATTTGGTGAGTAGTTGAGCAGGCCCCACTGGACGTATTCGTAAGAAAACAAAAACAAGAAAACGAGAGAGCCATGGGCGTCTTCATCCTAACCCATAACTGCCGACATGCAGACCTGAACACCAATCTTCAGCATATATTGGTGGTCGGCTGGCCCTAGATAATGTAACTTGTGATCTCTGCGACGATTCGCGGGGCAGGTCGTTATCAGGTGACTGCCCCTTTTTGGGAACTTACCCCACCACTGTGTGGGATCTGCAGAAGGGAGCGGGAAGAATATCTTTCATACCCCGCCTAAAAAAAAAGATGGAATGAGCCCTATTTTTTAAGTATTTTATTTTTCGCCGTTCTGAAACTTTTGGGGGAAGGGCCTGCGGAAATCGAAATTTGGCAGCCCTTACCCAAAAGAAAATTTCGAGCTTGGGGCGCGGCCGGAATCTGAGCTCACGCGGTGAGTTTAACATTTTTGCCGAGTTGGGGGCCCTAAGAAATTACAAAACACCTACTCTCTTTTTTTTTTTTTTGTGGACCTAATTTTTCCAGTGCGCAGCGCTTCGGTGCGCTGTGCGGTGGGCTGCGCGCGGTGCGCAATTTGTGCGCAAATCCACGCACCGAGGTGCGCCTCAACTATGCTATAGGACCATCTATCAGCTTAGGCCCATAGGGCCTGTCTGTCCAAGGGGTAGTCCGGGTCTGCTATTCGCAGTTAGGGTAGATGTAGGAAATTCAGTTAGTTCGGGCCTGTATTTTCCCGAATTTATAGGTATGTCCCTCACGAATTTTCCTTACAGGCAGGTCACTCGGTTAGCCCTCAGCCAAACAAAATTACGAATTTGTCCTACTTAAAGAATTGATCTTTCTCTCTCAAAAAAAAAAAAGAAAAAAAAGAATGGTACAACCTCGACAGAGAGAGGCTACAGACGACCAGAAAACACCAAGTCATTGCAGGACTCTCACAAATTGATTTTTTTTCTAGGAGTCGGAGGAACTATGCTGTGTGTGTGTGTCGGCAAGAGAGAGAGAGAGAGAGAGAGAGAGAGAGAGAGAGAGAGAGAGAGAGAGAGAGAGAGAGAGAGAGGGTGTGAGTAAATGCGCTGACGGTCAAATAAATGGGTGGCTGCTGTTGGAAAGAACAGGTTTAAGGCTTTAAGCGTGAGGGGTTACCTTATCCTCTCTTTTTTCCTGGGGCACTTTTTGGTTTTTGGCATGCAGCTGGTGCAACAGGGCCGATGCAAGAATCTCCTGGTGTGCTGTTTGAGGCCATGAATATTCCGGACACGTTCGCAAAAGTTTACCTGTCGAGATTGCTTGCGACGATGCTTTACTCACGGGAGGTTAAGCGTATGTATTGTCGTACCATCGTTTGAGATGCAATGTGAATATTATATCATCATCATCAGCATTGTTCCTTGTCGTCCTGGTGTTTTCTTTGCTGCATCCTTTTTGTTGACTCTCGTGTGTTCTTCGCTGCGTCCTTTTTGTGACTCTCTCCCTTTGGATGACATGGAGTAGTAAAGTTATAGCTATCCCTCCCTCCCCCCCTCTTGTTCCTCCTCTCTCCTTTTCAAGGCCTGCCCCGCCTCTTTTTGGAGAGGGCTGATACTGTCTCGACTCTCAAGTCTTTTTTTTTTTTTTCTATTTAAAAAAAAAATGGTCTTTGCTTCTTTTTTGCTTTTGTCTGCCAACTGCTTCTCTGACAGAGTCTGAAGAAACAAACGATTCAAATTTTCTCTGGTCCTCGGACAGGCAATTGTTCTGGACCCTCACGCTGGAGATTCGAAATTGTTCGCTCCTCAGACATTGTACATTAGATTGGAGGAGATGGGAGACGAGATTGGACAAGATTGGAGGCCATATTGGACATGATTGGTGACAAGATCTGGGATGAGGTCCCACTAGCAAAGAGGGTTGGATTTTTTTTTAGATCCTGAATGTGGACGTGTTTGTGGAATGGTGCGGAAAATTGGGATTGATATGGCTTTCTGCATCTCTCCACAAAACACATTCAGATTCAGGAGCAGCTTCATCCAATCCTCTTTGCCGAGTGGGACCTCACCCCCGATAACTTTCAAGGTCCGGTCTTGGCCGATCTCCAAAGCGAGACTCTCACGACTTGCTCGCATCCAGCCAGCACACCCGGGGATAGCTGAAAGGGCAAGCCTTGGGAGCGAGACTTTCACGAGGGAGTTGCTTGTATCCAGTCAAAGATCAGACGCTGACAATTCGCATCTTGTTGTTAGAGCGCAGAGTCTCAATCGAGGGTTGTGAGTCTTGCGACTGGTGTGAGCGCGGAATCTTTGTAGAGTTAAATCACCACTCCAACGGCCCACTTGACTGTTCATTTTTCTTGTCTGCAAGTAGTACAGGGCCAAAATCTACGGCCGCCCCGAGGCCTGGTAGAGGCTCGGTGGTGAAGGGTACCACACCCATTTTTTGTTTCCTTGCGGCGGCACTGTAGATTTCAGGCGCAGGGAAATGCAAATTCTGGTTTGTCAAAATAGGCCCGGATGGAGTGGCGGTTTAACGGAGTTCTTGTTCGAACAATTGTTCAAAAGTTGTCTGAATGGATGAAGATTCTGAAAGTGTCCAAGTTCATTCGAATCTAGAGTTTGATTTTTTTCTGAGAACAGTGAGAAGTCTAAACGCGTTCAGCTTCTTTTTTGCAAGTCCTGTCTGAACACACTTCAGATGAGTTAACTGTGAACGTGGATTCTGTAGCACATGAGCTCTCGTCGTGAGCCCGTGTAGTGAGTTGCCGTCGCGATTCATCATTTCTTTCAGCTTCGTGTGTGGTGAAGTTTTGACGGGCGATTTTTTTCAGCGGTGGAGGCAGTGTGCAGAGAAAAACGTTTTTAAGGTATTGCCTCCAGTGACCGGTGTGAAGCAGAGAATAGGGTTACGGTATATTGCCTCCCTTGACCGGTATGAACTGCGTGGTGCCATGTCCTGGTGATGATTGCAGAGAGGCGTGGACTGTGGCAACAGTTTGCGAATCTTCTCTACCAGTTGACTTGGGATGAGCACGAAAAAGTTGCCCTTGAAGCAATCTTGGGCATAATTGGCGGGGCTGGAGGAGACGGGAGGTGAGTCCTTTCCATGCCTGTGCTAAGTTCTTTTTAACCTCATGTTACTTACCCTACCCTACCCTACCCTACCCTACCCCACCTAAGCTTGGGCCATGAATACCCTACCCTCTCCTCTGACGCCATGTTCACTACCCTACCCTAAACTGCACTGCCCTGCGCCGTGCTTCCCTGTCCTGCCCTGCCCTGCCCTGCCCTACCCCACCACACCCCAATACAGGGGCCAGAATGAGCCATGAATGTACAGAGGATAAGTTCTGGCCTGAGATCCGGTTTCGTGGAGGGGCAGCAAATCCGCAATGGGAAGCAAATGTGCTTTGAGTATGGGTTTAGTGATCCTGGCCAATATAGGGAATCGAACATATGTTGGCGAATACAGGGAAGCAAACATATGCTTGCCGATATAGGGAGTGAAGTTCAGTGAACATATCCTGGCGGATATGTTCAGGCTGAAGGGTGGGGGGGATATCGCGACTAGTATGGTTCCTCTTGTGTACAATGTGCCATGGCTGTAGTGGTTAAGAAAAATTTGGCTCTTGAGATTATGTTTTTTTTTTTTTTTTTTTTTTTGCTGTGCATGTGGTTAAAAAAACAAGCAAACTATGTTCTACTCTGGATTTCCACTTGTTTTTTTTTTTTTTTTTTCGATTTGTTATTTTTGGRTTTCCACTTCTTTTTTTTTTTTTAATGGATTTCCACTTTTGTACAATGTGCCATGGTTGTAGTGGTTAAAAAAACAAACAAACAAACAAACTACATTCTACTCTCGATTTCACGTCAAGCAACAGCAGTGTCTGCCTGCTTCTGTTGTGATTCTTTTTTTTTTCTCTCTCTTTTATTCTAAAAAAAAGGGCTGCGTCCCTGATATATCATCATTTGAACGGACCAGGCCTCGGTAATTCAGAATCGCAGGACTTTGCTCATGTGCTTCCAGTGTAGTTCGAACTCAGCACCTGGTCTGTATTTCAACAGTTCATTTCAGGTGTGTACCAACGGAGCTAAATCTAATGTAAGTTAGAAAATTACCATAGAATAATAAGAATATTAATAAATATATAATATAAAAATATATTGAGTGCAACAGTATGTATTAGATTATATATATACTGTTTGTGACGATATATATATACATTATAATAATATTAGTATATCTGACTACTATATCACTGTGTATATTAATTGTAGACTAGTATTTGTTTGTATGTTTGTTTTTTTTTGGGTGTGTTGTGATTCTCAGGGATGCTTTAGTGTTGTTGCTGATAGCAGACGTTTTTCGTAAAATAATGTGTTTTTGTGTTTTGCGCCTGCCCGGCCGGCCCGACCGTGCAACGACCAGGGAGGGTCCTAGCAAAAAAAGGAAAAAAAATCAAAAATATCTGAAAAAACTATGTTATGCAAAAAAATAAACTGAGCCTTTGCCTCAGGGTCACATCGAAATTCTTTACCAGATTTAAAATAGAAAATATATCTATCTAATATCTATGTTTTTTTTTTTTAACTTCTTTTTTTTTTTGGCCCGGCTGGGCAAAGGGTCCTGGGCCACTCTGGTAGCCAAGTTATATTTGCGCATTTGTTTTTTTTCCCTCCCCTTTGTTCTTTAATGGTGTTCTGGAATTTCTGGCCTGTTTTTTAATATTTTATGCTTTTTTTACTCTGCCTTTTTTGTTGCCATTTATTTCGAATTGTTGGTGATGGTGGCAGTATGGAGCTGAGGGCTGCCGGCTGGGATCTTCTCTGTGCTGCGGAGGTGGTTGTCCCTGAAACCGCCATGTCTAAGGAGGGGCCTTCGAAGGGAAAAGTCCCTACTGGCAAGATGGGGAAGCGAACTATTTTCAAGGTAGCATGCACAAGGTAGATACTGAGTTGGAATTTCCTTCCTCTCCTGAGTACCTCACTCTGAGCATTACTGATCAGTTAGGGAAATATGAAGAACACAAGAATAAAAGAAAAACGGGAAAAAAAACTTCAAAAAAAAAGATCACATAAAGACTGATAGATTGCGGAGTACCAGATTTTGACTTCGACTAGAGGACCTGTTTCAGCTTCCCCCATTAAAAGGAAAAAAAAAAAAAAGAATTGAGGAAAAAACAGATGTGCAAGGGTACCAGGTCGGTAGTTGTTGAAGCAAAAAGGCACTCCCATGCAGGTGACTGTCTCGTACAATCCCGAGAGCACTCGAGTACCGATGGCAGCGCTTGCAGGCCACCTCGCACGGCCCAAAAATGTGCATGCTCCTGCAAAAGGGCATTTCACTTGCGCCATAAAGCTCCCGCTCATTCTACACCTCTTTCAAGTCATTTCACAGAGTCGAACTAGAGTCAAGCTCAACAGAGTCTTCTTTCCCAAAAAATGTGCATGCAGGAAAAAGCTTCAAAAAGGGCATTTCACTTGCGCCATAAAGCTCCCGCTTATTCTACACCTCTCTCAAGTCATTTCACAGAGTCGAACTAGAGTCGAGCTCAACAGAGTCTTCTTTCCCGGTCGATTCTTCCAAGGGAACGTGGGCGTCGAAGAATTGGCGGGGAAAGAAGACCCTGTTCAGCTTGACTCTAGTTCGACTCTGTGAAATGACTTGAGAGAGGTGTAGAATAACATACAGAACAAGTGAAATACCAATAAAAAAGACAGCTCTCTCCGGCCGGCACTTCCTCCTCTCCCACAGCCGATGATTGAGGCTCTTTTCACCCAGCCCCATTCCTTCCCCCCTCCTGCTGCAATTTTAGCTTTCCCCCCAACTCCCGCCCTCCTCTCACCATTTCAAAGTTACCCCCTCCCGCCCTCGGTTTTTCCCTTTCCCGTCCTCCTCTCCCTAGTGAATGGTTTTTTCCCACCTCTTCTTCCCCCTGTTCCCCCCCCCCCTCGTGATTTCAATTGTCCGCTTTTGGCCATTGTGGCATGCCATGTGTCTCCGAGTGTGTGTCCGCATCTATGTATGCCTCTCTTTCTGTGCCTCTTTCGCAAATCTATGCCTCTCTTTCTGTGTCTCTTTCGCAAATCTATGCCTCTCTTTCTGTGTCTCTTTCGCAAATCTGCTACTCACTCTATGTGTGTCACTCAGTGTGTGTGTGTGTATGGCATTGTCCACTTTTGCCCAATGTGGTGTGGCACTTTCGGCTCCACGGAGAACTGCAACAGAGACCATATTGAGGTGAATGGAACCGAGTGCCACATTGCCAAGCTTTCCGTCTAGATACAGTGAATGATGGTACGTTCTTTTCAGGTGAAGACAAGACAGTAGCCCACACCGAGGAAGTACGCAGGCCAAACAGAGGGCAGTCTGCAAAAGGTGATATGCCCGAGCTGTGAAATTTTCGTGCACACAGCATAACAAACTTCCACATTCGTGAAAGATTTAGCTGGGATGTGCAACGTTCTTGCGCACAGCGTAACAAACATCTGCGTTTTCAAAATATTTGCCTGGGGTGTGCGATGTTCATGTCCATAGTGTAACAAACGTCCCTGTCCATCAGCGTGAGGGTCCAGCGGGTTCACTTCCTATGTGCGGGCTCAGCCCCCCTTCCATTAAAAAGTTTGTATTACTTTGTAATCATGTCGTGCACTGCGCACAATTTTGTCTTGGTCGGTGTTATGTGATGTGGTTTTTCGGGCGGGAGGTCGTATCTTGTCGGGTCTGTTCGGTCCTGACGGCACAGTGATGTCTTTTGCTACTGGCGAATCTGCGTGGAGTCTGACAAGCTGGTTTCATTGTCATGGAAGATCCGCCTATATTTTATCCATATTTAATCCGTATTTGTGATATCCATACTCCATCCATATTTGGTCCATACGTTATCCATAATTCATCCGTACGTCACTCGTTCCTGTCAGTTGCAACAACTGGCATGAACTAGGATGAAAATTGTCTGACCAAAGGTGATGTATTCTGTGCCATGTCATCGGAAGGGGTTTGTGGCCTTGTGTGGGGTTTCTGGAGAGCAGTTGTGGGCGGTCTTCGAATTGAAGCACAGACACACACACACACACACACACACACACACACACACACACACACACGCACACACACACACACACACACACACACACACACACAGAGAGAGAGAGAGAGAGAGAGA